AACAATTGGTATTCGAGCATGAAGAGGGAATTTTATTCCCCATTGTACTATCAAAAGATTAAAGGGGAAATTTTTAATTCCCAATTAGGAATGGTGCCTTGGATTGCTAGAATCAAGTATAGAAGATCATAATGGAGCTTGGATTTGGAGTAATAGTGAACTTGATTTGCAAGGAACATTGGGAGTCATATGAGAAAATCATAATAGACTTGCATTTGTACTTTTAGTAAGAATCTAAAAATCTTCCTTGAATTCTATCTATGTAAGAAGAATCTTGAGGGAGTTCATAGAGAGATTTGGAGTACCTAGAAGAGATTTAGAGAGCACTTTTAATTAATATTATAATTTTTTTTAATTAGTAGATTTCTTATCTTCTTAATTTTGCCCCATTAAGAATTTTTCATGTTAAATTGGTGTTCTTCTTCTTCTTATTTTGCTTTATTATTATTCACTTACATGATTTGTAGGTGAATTATATTCCAACATTTGATATCAAAATAAATTTTATTCTTAATAGTGATATAAAAGATTTAAAAGTGAAAATTTTAAATTTCAACAGTGATATCAAAGCTTACAATTCCAACCTTCGGTGGTATGGATTATGCACAACAAATTTTATAGTTAATTGCCTAGCCATGGGATGACTTTGACATAATGATATGACACATTCATGATGTAATACCCCAAAAAAATAATAAATAAAATAAGAATAAAAATAAAGATTTTTTAAAACTTAAAATTTAGTTGGGGACTTATGTGAGAGAAATCATTATTGTTGGGCTCAATAACAAAACTTACAAACTTGAGGGGGGTTAAAAGAGGAAGTTGGATGATTAAAAGGAGGCAAGGGCTAATTTTCATATTTTTCTCCCATCCCTCTTATGTTTCCTTGCAGACTCGCAACCCCCACCAACCTTTCACCCTAGTAAGCCCTAGCTTGTGCCTAATGCCTCTTCACCGAAAAATCAGGTGAGATTTAGTTCTTCTTCTTCCTCTCAAGTTCGATTTATGGATTTATAGGCTTATGACTCTAAAACTATAATCAATCCACACCTTGTTGTTGTTGCCTTCTCCCCAATTCTTAATCCGTGTTGCGTAACTAGAGCGGTGTAGGAGGTCGTCATTCTTAGCATCCTCTGGTAAGAAAAACAACCATAGTTCATCCGTCAAGCTTTGATTTCATCCTTAGTTTTGTTGATTAGATTTGGGTAGTATGTTGTTTGAAATTCCTTCCTAAAATATGCTTGAGGGTTCCAAATTTTTTAGCCATTTTGCCTTAGTTTACTGGTATGGTGCTAAATTTTCTACACTGTTTTTACTGCTGCCATGTCCTATTTCTGCACAAGTTCTATTGTTAATTGCTTTTACTTCATTGTGGTTGTAAATTTTGCACTAAGTACAAGGTTTCTGCTTTGCTAATTCTGAGATGTTTACCTCAATCCCAGCTTGTTTTACTCTTGAATAATTATAAGTTTCTATTGTTTAAAAGACTACATTGTTGCCCTGCTTTTAAGCTAAAAAAAAAAAAAAAAAAAATCAGTTTTGGTTCTTGCGATTTTGAGAAAAATCATGCTCCTAAAGAGCTTAGCTCAACTCAAAATTTTATTTAATTAGTTGCTATTTTCTGCTTCATTTGCCTAGAATTTTGGCTACTGATAATGCCCAGAAAATTATGTTATTTTGCTACTATTTCACCGTTGTCTTGCCCATAAATTACTGTTCTTTTTACCTAGAAAATTATGCTATTTTGCTACTGTTTTACTACTATTTTGCCCATAAATTGCTACTATTTTTATCCAGAAAATTCTATTATTTTGCTACTGTTTTACTGCTATTTTGCCCAGAACTACTGTTGTTTTGCCTAGAATTAATTGTTGTTGCATGTGACTTTTGGTGATGTTTTAAACATGCTCTAGGTATGGTTAAATATATTAATATGTTAATAAGAGTTCAATGGGTAGAAATAGTAAGGATGTATAGGAAGAAATTGTTTCTTTGGATAGAAACTTGATATTGGTATTAGAAGCCAATTTAGCTAAATGGGGTATTTTGTAATGTTGTTTATTCTTGGATGTGACATAAGTTCTAAGTCACTTTCGTCTCTTGAAAACTTGAAATTCTTGCTTGTTGTATAGCTATAAGATGAGGCAAGTAAAAGTATGGTAATGCCTTGGATTTTAAGATAAAGTTTTTTGAAAGCATATTTTGGATGGTTTTGAGATGGTGGAGGGCCTAAACCCGTTTTACACAAACAGGAGCATGATTGGTTTAAAATGAAATTATTATCATTTTTATTGAATTGAGCATGCCTACTTGGAGTTTTCTTGGTTGCCCTGATGATCTGGAAGTTAATTGTAAATTATGGTTTTCTTGTTAACTCTTACCTAGTTTTGTCTCTAATATGGTCATGTTAGACTGTGCTTGCTAGTGGGAGGTTTATAAACGTTAGCACGTGTCGACATGTTAATTATGGAACCAGTTCATGTTATACTTGTTATCTTGCTTATGAGTTTATACACTAGCAATTTTTGTGCCAGCCAGTGGGAGGTTTATAAACGCTAGTCATGACTTATAAAGGAAACATCTATTTCATTCCCATACTCGTACCAATTTTATCTTGATACTTGATTACATTGTTGGTATGCTTTAACTTTAAATAAGGATTGCACATCTTTTATTTACTGAGATATCTCATGATTTTTCCTTGTCCACCATTTCAGGTAGTGAGACTTGAGATGGAGGGAACCGAGGGGAGTGATGAGCTAGAGAGCTAGCCTCTTGTCTTTTGGAGTAAGGCCACTAAACAAAAAAAAAAAAAAAATTTTTCGACATAGCCTTTGGACCATAGAGCATTCTTTTGTAGATTAGATTTCCCCTTGGAGATAGTAATGGCTATATTGATGGACTTGTATAAGTTTTTGTATACTCTTGGCCTAGCAAAGCTTTGGATCTTGAAAGTCAAATTTTATTTTAAGATATTGATCTTAGTTATGGATTGCTAGTTGTGAATTAAGCAAGTTTGAGCCTTGTGGATTTGTAAAATCCTCATAGGTGTACGGCATTTGTTTTGCTCTTAGTTCTAGGGCATGACACATGATGTGGGTGAGGTTGTGGATTTGACAAAGAGATTGCTAACTTGGCAAAGATGATGATGAGATGCAACTGATTTGTGGATAAAGTAATTAAATTCATTGTCATGTTTATTTAATTGTCATGTACTAATACCTCTTTTTTTTCATATATTTAATGTCTTTATTTTATTATTCAATTAAAGATGACAGATAATCATCATTGGATGTATAGACAACAAGGTCCTCGTGGAGATTGCAATGATGAATTCTTTAATGGATTGGAGTAATCTTTTGATTTTGTATATAGTCATCTTGGTGCCAACTCGAATGCCAAAATTCACTACCCTTGTAGTAAACGTAAGAATTTACCTCACCACAACAAAGTAACCATAAGGGAGCATCTTGTGGATAATGGTTTCATCGATGCATATTTTGTTTAGTGGGCACATGGTGAAACATTAGGTAGCAATGCCGATCCATGGTCAACCGTACGTGATGTGGCATTCTCAAGTAATACAGAGGAACATGTTGACGATGAGGATGATTTCCATCACATGGTTTATGATGCATTCTATCTATCTAAGAACTATCACCCAACGATTGAAACTGAGTTTCAATGTGAAACTATTAGGGACAAGCCAAATAGACATGCACAAGCTTTTTATAATTTGCTGCATGCTTCAACCATCTCGCTTGGACCATCATCTAATAATTAAACTGTGCTTGGTTCGTTAGTGTATATGTTGCACACCAAATCCAAAAACAACATAACTGGTGTTGGCTTCAATGAGATCATTTATGGTTGCAAGCAATTATTAAGTCCTGAAGATCAGCAAAAAGTACCAACACATTTTTATGAAGCAAAAAAATTCATGAAAGGCCTAAGTTTAGGCTATATCAAAATTGATGCATATGTCAACAATTGTTTTCTCTATTATAGGGAGGAGGCCAAGTTACTTAATACCTATCTAGTTTGTGGTGAACATAGGCATAAATACAAAACTCAGCTCAAACTCGAAAGAAAGATAACCCAAGGAATTCTTTGTGGTATCCACCCATAATTCCACACCTATAAAGGCTATATATGTCTCGTAAAACTACTAGGCATATGACATGGTGCCTTAAATGTCATGCTAACTCAGAGGTCCTCTGCTTAGCCTGCTGCTTGAAAGCACTTTGATGAAGCTCATCCTTTGCACGTGATCCGTGAAATGTTCGTCTTGGTCTTACGATAAACGGGTTTAACTCATTGGGTCATTCTTTGACATCATATTCCTGTTGGCCCATTTTCATCATCATTTATAATCTTCCTCCTGAGATGTGCATGCAACCTAAATTTACATTCCTTACACTTGTTATTTCTGGACCAAAGAATCCTACAAAAAACATTGATGTTTTTCCCTATCCACTGATTGATGACAATCTAGGGTCATTGGAGTTGATAGTAGCGCCAATGGGGTTGGTTGAGACCCTTGCTAGTCAACGAAAAACCTCACGTGAGTAACCAAAGATGCCTTTTCTAAGTCCAACACAATGTCAACAACTTAACCTTCATAAGGGTTAACTATATAGTCAATCTAAAACATAAACTATTCTTACTTTTATAAACTGTTTCATAAAGAACAATAATCAAGAATTGAAAATAATCACTTCCCATATAGCCACAATCTTATCTCAAACATTTCTTAAAACCACAATATGCCATAATCTCATGTCAAAACATTTCATAAAACCACATTCTTGACGTACAAATCTTCTCATTCCATAATAAAATACTTTTCATTATAAAATAATTTTAAAATGAACAAATAATTTTATCTTAACAATAAATGAAAATAATTAAAAAAAATACAATGCCAAAGAGTATATCTACTTACCTCACTTGCTCCACAATCACTCCACACTGTTATGCTAAATATCACAAGCACTCCTAAACAAGAGAAACCACAATCTTAGTTACAATCCAAGAATCCAACTATAGCAACCCCTAAAACACCTTTGGAAGTGGCAACAATTCTCATTTAGCTTCAACTATATATTGAATTTTAAAGAAAATCACTTATCTTAGATAATATCCAAAAACAACTTTGAGTCACAATTTTTAGAATCATATTTAACAGTTAAGAACTCAAACCAATTGTAAATGTAATTTTACAAAAGTTAGTTAGAAAATATATGTAAAATAAATTTAATTTAGAAATATTCTAGCAATAAAAATATTATGTAAAAGCTATAAAAACACAATATAAGGTTTGAGGATAATTATTAAACATAAGTTTTAAATTTTTGGAAGCTAAAACTATATTTAAAGATATTTCTCAAATGTTAGAAATTTTGCATTGTTTAGAATTTTTATGATTATCGAGACTACTTTAAAAACACATTTCTATCCATTCAAATATGATATAAGAAAACTATTTATACCATGTGAAACACCATATAAAAGACTATAGAAGCCAACTTTTTGTCATAAAAAGATGTAACCAAAAAGGCTTTTGCCGATGGTTCAAAATCAACCACTTGAAACTATCAAAACCAATTTTCAAAATTTCCAAAAAAAAAAAAAAAATCAATATCTCACTCAATACTCAACCAAATGAGGTGCCATCACTTCCAAATAAAAGATCTACTTAAGAGATTTCCATAGACACCAAACTCACCACTGGAAAGTTGCTAGAGTGATAGCAGTATTGCTGGAAAGTTATCAAGTCAATACTCACATTAGTAATTCTATGCTATTTATGAAATCCATCAAGAATCTAAAGTCTTGAGAGATAGATTACCTTAAACATGCTTAGACTTCACCTAGATTTAGATTAATCTGATGATATAATCTTGGAACTAGGCAGTTTTGGAAGAAATTTGACAACTCCCAATAGAGAAAAGCACGCCTTCAACCACTTAAGGGAATGGGCGGCAGTTCCCAAAAATGAATCACATATCCGACTCTTAGGTTTTAATTTAAAAAATATTTTATTGTTAACTAGTCCCACATTTTAAGGCCCCCACAAAATTAAGTCCTTAAATTCTCCTTTCGTCACATTTCAATCCTTTAAGGGCTTAAATGAAAATTGTATAAATCTTGGGTATCACAATATAGTAAAAAAAAAAAAAAAAAGGAACGTAGGGTATAAAAATAAATACAATAAAATATAAGAGCAAAAATTCGAAAGATGAAGTCATAAGAAAAAAAATAATAAGAGAGATAGAGTAAATGTAATTGAAAAAGATTTATAGAATAATATTAAGAAGTTATATCACTTACATTTAGTTTAAAATATTTCTAATATAAAAGGTAGAGAAAGATAAATTGGGATAAAAGAAAGATATATAACGATTAATGGAGGTGCAAAGAAATAGAAATGACTAAGAAAAGATAATAGAAATAAGAGAATAATGGGAGAAAAAAAAAGAACAAATACAATACTAATATAGATTGAGCGAAAAAGAGGGAATGTAGTATAAAAATATAAATATAATAATAAAAATGTGATGGAGGAGTTAAGAGATGGAGTCTTAAGAAAAATTAAAAAGAGATGTAATAAATTTAAGTAAAAAAAAAAACTAAATAATAATACTAATAAGATATGTCTTTTATGTTTTGACTTAAAACATTTGTAATTATAGACAGCTAAATAGAGGAAAATGGGGTAAAAAAAGGATATAATAATAGTTACATATTCAAAAATTGACTAGAATAAAATGACAATTAGGGAATAATAAAGGGAGAAAGATTAATAATATATAAATTATATGTTGCAAAAAAAGTAATATGCAAATTATTAATATATTGGGAGTTAATGTGATGTTGAATGTAAATAGAGATAAATATAATGATAAAATGTGAGTGAAACCTCTAAAACAATTAAAGAAAGGTGAAGTCATGAAGTAATAATAAGAGAAAAAGTATGAGAAATAATACTAAGAAGCTTCATTTTTTGCGTTTTGACTTAGAACATTCTAATTACAATTTTTATGCGTGAATAACTAGGAGGAAAAAAAGGAGAGTAAATGATAATCAAAAAGCATACTGCATTTGGATAGGCTGAGAGATATACTCGAGTGTTTATATCCAATTCAATCCAATTGATCCAATCTAAACTGATCCAATTCAATAAAAAATCGATCCAAACCGATATAAAATTAAATTGGTTTGAATTATAAAATTTTAAAACTGATATAAATTGGTTTGGTTTGTAGTTTTACCTTCAAACTGCTCGAACTGCCCAATTACAAAATAAAATCCAATTACAAGATAACTTAATTAAATAATATAATATATTTTTTGTACTATTTTAAAATTTCTTTTTCTTATTTTACAAAATAATAACTCTATTAACTTAATTAAAAAATAAAAATAGAATATTTCTATATTCCCTAAGTTATTTTTTTATTTTAATCATGCACTCTAACCATAATTTTAAATTTTTAATTCACCTACAACTCTATCCCCTTAGAACTGGTTTACGCCTTTACTCTTAAAATCCTAAACTTTTATATTATTCTTAAAATAATCTTATGATTCTCTTAATTAAGTTTTAAATAAGTATTATTTTAAAAGTTTTAAAATTATATAATAAAATTAGTCTTAATATTTTACTATTCTTGGATATTTGGTTTAAAAGTTTTAAATTTTGATTATAAATACTTCTAATCAATTTTAATTATATTCATGTTAAATTTTATTTACTTTTAACAAATTTAAAAGATGGGATTAAATTATTAGTGCATTAAGAAAAAAACTAATTTTAATTTTTAAGAATTATTTACGTTATGCTAAAAACTTTAAATCATCTTTTATTGTTCTTGGTGCCTCAAGTGATGTAACCAAGAACAATTTTCAGATCTTTTCAATTTTTTCAAATATAAAAGAGTATAAAAACTTGTTTATAATTTATACTTTTTATTATGTTTTTTTATTGATTTGCATGCTAATATGTTTTATGGTTATGCTTTCTATTTGATATTAAAATATTTTTACATTATCTTATATATTTAATAGTATTAAAAACTGATCAATCCAACTAAACTACACCAATCCGATTTAAGTTAAATTGGTTTGATTATCATATAATAATGGATTGAATTGGTTTAAAAAAATTTTTAACCAATTAAATTAGAATAATTTCAAAAATATTAAAATTCAAATTAAATCACACCACGAACACCCCTAATAATCAAATAGAACTAAAACATTAATTTCTCCACGAGTTGATGTAAGAAAAAGTTAAATGAAGAAACATAAGGAAATATACCCACAAAATATACCAGGGAGAAAAAGTACAAAAAGAAGACATAGGAAGGATATATAGGGGAAAGAAAATAGAGATGGAAAGAGTTAGAGAAATATCAGAAGATGTACCTACAAAATATAGAAAAGTAAAGATGAAATGAAGGAAACAAATTAATGAAATAACGTGGGAAAAGTCACTTCACGCATGATAAATGATGAGTACTAATGTTAAAACTTTAGAACTTATATATGTTTTAAGGCACATTCTATTTAATGACATATAATCAAATATTAGCCTCATGACACTAACAAGTAGTAAATTAGTTGGTGTAAATCTCCCAATTACGTGAAAATTAATAAAAATTGGGATCGTTGTATCAATGAACAAAAAGTAGACTTAATTTCCACCATATATAGACCTTTCATTTTATTTTATTTTATTAAGTATAGATGAAGTTATTAACATTAATTTCGAATAATTATTTAAAATTAATATTATTATAACTAATAATTACCGTAATAATTGCCATAAAGAGTCAATATAAACAAATCGTGTGTAGCGCGGATATGGCACCTAGTTTAACAAAAATTTGTTAAGTTATAATTACAAATTAGTTAATAGAGAAGTATATAATTTTTCCTTATATTTAGAAATAAGAAATCAATTTCTTTGTTTCAAAAACAATAAAGGAATATTTCATCTGTAATTGAAAAAAATAACGATAACAATAAAAATAAATTCTTTTATAGGAAAAATAATTAATTACTTTTTAAATTTATCCTTATTTTATTCATCTCTAAAGAACTATTATTAACTATTATATAATTAAACAATTATTAAAATCAAAATTCGATATTCACTATTCACCACCCACTAACCACTAACTATTGGATTTTAATTTCTATGCCAAGTAATCCCTTTGGAAAGATATATATAAGCACGCAAGATTTTTCTTTTTTTTTGAAAATTTTGGAAAAAAAGAAAAAATTATTGAATATTTCTTAAAAAATACTAAAGAAATTAAATGATGAAGTTATAAGCAAATCTTAAGTCTCTGTTTAGTATAATTGTAATTTTTTATTTTTTACTTTAGTTTAAAATTTTTTTACAATTGTTAAAAACCAAAACTAGAAACAAAAAATAGACAGTTTATTTAACATTGACAACTAAAATTATTTTGATATTATTTCTCTAAAAGGTCATAATAATATATTGGAAAATAAATATAATTAATCTGAACAAATTTTCTTTGTTAGAATGAGAAAATTTAAAATATATATATATATATTAACATACTAAAAAGAGACCTACAGCATATTTGGTTTTAAGGGAGAGTGGAATGAAAAGATATGGCATCTTTCCATTTCCCTCCTTCTCTCCTCTCATTTCCATATACACCTCATCTCTTCTAAATTTTTTATTAACTAAACAAAATTTTTTTAGCTATTTCCTCCGCTTCCCTTCACTCAAACCAAGTATACTAGTAAGCAAATACTAGTTGCTCGTATACAAAATATGTAATTTTCATAAGCTGATGTCTCAAGGCTATGGCTATCAACAAGAATGTTAAGCCACCAAAGTTGTAAAATTTTATTATATCATATATAAAAATAGTTAAAATTTTCAATAAATCTTAAATAAATATTGTATAGGCTTTTAAAAGTCCCCCAAAATCCCTCTAAAATCCCTCTCTCAAATAAATATCAAATAAATACCAAATAGGTGTTTTAAAATTCTTCTTAATCTCAAATGAATACCTAATTGACCTCTTAAAGAAAATCCATTAAGGAATTGAATCTTGATTAAATTAAATTAATATCCTTTCAAATTTATTAATGAGAATGATACATATAATTTTTTATTAATCTTATTATATTATAAAAATTGTTAAAGTCTTCAACAAATTTTGAATAAATACTCAATGAACCTTTTAAAAATTTCAATAACTTTTTAGTAAATCTTTAAAAAATATTAAATAAATACCCAATAAATCTTTTAAAATTTTTAAAAAATACCAAATAAATGCCCAATGCATTTTTTAAAATCCAAATTTAGTTATATTTTCAATAATAATTTTTTCTTTTAATTTAATTCTACTTCAATTTATTTCAACTATTACAATTAAATATAAATAAAAACTGAATTATATTTACAATAATAATATTTTCATATACATCTTCAATATTATATTTTTAAAAATAAACAGCAAGTGCAATCCAGTAGAAATTATAATAATTTTATGATCTCATTATATTATAAAATTTATTAAAATATTTAATAAATCTCAAATAAATAGCCAATGTACTTTTTAAAATATTTAATAAATATTAAAATTAATATCCAATATATCTTTTAAAATTTTGGATAAATACTCAAGATTTTAAAATCTAAACTCAATTATAGTTTACTATTGTAAAAATTGTTAAAATTTTTAATAAATCTTAAATAAATATTAAATAGGCCTTTTAAAATTTTCAATAAATATCCAATGAACTTTTTAAAATATAAACTCAATTATATATCATTATATTATAAAAATATTAAAATCGACAACAAATCTTGAATATTACCTGTTAAACCTTTTAAAAGTCTTCTAAAATATCAAATAAATATTCAATTGTTCTTTTAAAATCTTCAATAAATAATTACAAATGTAATTATAATTTTAATTATAAAAGCCTTAATTTGATTTCACTAATTAATTTGAAAAAAAAAATAATGAATCTAATAACGTCCCTTTTTATACTTCAATTCCAAATTGGTTGATAATTTTAATTATATAATAATTTAAATTTAAATTTAATTATATCTTATTATATTACACAAATTATTAAAATCTTTAATAAATTTCAAATAAATATCAAA